GAGGAGGTAAAAGTGAAATTTTGCCAATGGAACAAGACAATTTACACTTAAAATAAGAAAACACAATTGCATTGTCTTATTTCAAGTGCATATTATCTAATTATCTTATTTTAAGAGTAAAATTACTCATTCCATTGGCAAACTATCTCTTTTACCTGCTCAAATTTAGGGCGAATACACTTAATTTAAGAAATTTTTACTTATTTCTAGATCGTTTTTGCAGTGTATATTTGGGTAAAAATGGCCGCTCCCAGAATCACCGTCCACAATGAAAAATATTTTAATTTTCTTACTGATTAACGCTAAATTCATTAAATCATCTCAAATGTTAGGTTTCTGTTTTCTGTTGTGTTTTTTCTTTTGAGTATCCAGTTTTGCTTTTGTCCTTGTTTCCTAGTTTTTAAGGTTTAATTCTTAGTTTATTGTGTTCTTTGGTTTTTTCTCAGTTACTATCCTAGCCTTGGTTCTGTTATGTTTTCTTTTGAGTGTTTAGTTTTACTTTTTTCCATGTTTTATAGTCCTAGTGGTTTAATTATTATTTTGTTGTGTTTTCTAGTTACTTCCAGTCTTCCAGGTTTTTCATTTGTTGCCCTCTGCTGCCCCCTTGTGTTCTCCTTTCTCCCTACCTCCTGTTTTGTTTCTGCTCTGTCCTCACCTGTTCCCAATCTTCTCATTAGCCCTCTCTTTGTCTCAGTCTCCTTTAAAGATTCTCTCTGTTCTGTTCTTCCTTGCTGTGTCCTCGTCTGACCTCGTCTGTCTTCCTCCAATTCGTCTCTCTGAGCCTTCCTCCTGATGACTTCATGGTTTTTTGGTAACGTTTGACTTGAGCTTTCTTTTTTTTTATCTTTGAATTTTGGACTCCTGGTTTCTTGTTTGTTTTTTTAACTTTGTTTTCATTTGTTGGTTGCCTGTTTGTACGGAAGAGGATTAGGGCCACTGAAAAAAAAAAAAGTTAACTGATTTTTTAAAAAAAAAAATTGAGTTTAGTATGGGAAAAAAGTCAGAATTCTGACTTTTCTCTCAGAATTCTGAGAAAAAAAGTCAGAATTCTGAGATTAAAGTCAGAATTCTGAGATTAAAGTCAGAATTCTGAGAAAAAAGTCAGAATTCTGAGATTAAAGTCAGAATTCTGAGAAAAAAAGTCAGAATTCTGACTTTTTTCCCATACTACACTGAAATAAAATTTTAAAAATCAGTTAACTTTTTTTTTTTTTTTTTTCCAGTGGCCCTAATCCTCTTCCGTATGTTTGTTTGGACTTTGTTTTTTCAGAAATGAATCATTAAAACAACCTTTTATCCTCCTCTGCCTTCCTGCCTCTGCTTTGGATCAACTATCCTAAACCAAATCCTGACATCAAACGTATTAGTTTTAGCTATAAATAATGAACCATTGATTATTTTACCTTAATTTGAGCATCTAAATAAGATAATTTAACAACAGAATAAGTAGTTTTTTCCCCTTACAATAACAACTAGATTTTTATATAATTGAAATAAGATAAAAGGGTTGATTTTTATTATTATAAATATAAATCATCGTATTTAAATATGTGACTTAGCTGCTCCAAACAAACTAAAAAAGTGGCTAACATCGTTGCATTATCCCATTGCCCTCCTGTCTTTGAATTTTAATTATTCAAAGCAGATTTTCTTTTTTTCTTTTCCTTTGGTTACAGAATTATTAACATCCTGTTTATAGAAATCATGAAATAATTATGCATAGGTTTCAGTCCATTTTTTTGATTTTCTGAAAGTTTTTAAGTGTGTCATGATGCTCTTACGCTACGTGGGCCATTAGCCATTTAAAATAAAATCCTCCCACATTGTGGTTCGTCTCCACTCACCACTTCTGCTCTTAATGGATTCTACTCTGTTGGAAATGAGAAATCTGTGAGAGCCAGCTCTCCTCTCTCTCTGGAGATTAATGCATTTGGAGAGAGTGTGATTCAAGTGGAATGCTATTGGACGGCGAGGACGAATGGCCTCGTGGGAATATATATCGATGCAGACGTTTTCCCAGTCCATTACCGCTTCAACCGACACCCAAACAAACCTGTAGGGTGGATTCTGAACCAGACAGCAGACGTGAGCCAAATGAGAAGGGCAACGTTTTTTCCTGCAGGCCACTGTCTATAAATCAAGCTCTATGCAGCCAGCGGCCAGAGCCTAGGTATATAAATACAATAATGTCTACCCCGAGGCGAGGCCCTCAGCTGCTGAGCTGCGGAAATGAATTGAATGAGATAGAAAAACTGAGTCAACAACACTTGCTGTCTCCTATTACTCTCATTGCCATCATGTTCCACTGTGGTAAAGTCTCAGCGACATCCATGTTAATGGAGATTTGGAGCAGCTGTGTGATTCTGGGTTCTTTTTATTCCTCATCTACCTCCTCCTCTAAGCCAGAGAGGCGCCTTTCCTCTGCTTTCTGATGGAGGTTCTTCTCTTCTTCTTTATCACGTCATCATCTATAGGATAAGATAACTGAATTTATAAATGCAAGTCAATAAAGATTAATAAATTTGATATTTGTTGTCTGTTTTTAAAGGAAAAGTCCGGTCATATTCTGAATTCAAATATCTTAAAGTACTATAAAAATATGTTCAACAAATGGTGTTTTGAATGTGCTTTACTGGAGGCATCCATGTTTGTCAAAGAACACTACTGCCACCTACTGGTTAGTGACATTGTCACGGTGCGGTATCGGCTGTTGATCAAGTCCCAGTGCTGTATCTGGTGTTTGTCACAACGCGCTATTATCCAAGTCATCTTGAAAACATTCTTCTTCCAAATGTTGGCTACATATTACGGGTTTTTTCTCTGACCAGTAGTTCGATGGCAAATCCTCCCTCTTCAAGTTGGATCTGTACTGTTGAATTTGTGATTTGTTCTCATAAATGTGTAAAATTCAACTTGTAAACTTGGAAGTCCTACTGGTAAATTTGTCAGTCTTGCAAATGTATGAATTCTCTTCCTAAACTGTTCATTTATATTTGTGGGGTAATAAAATTGTATTAGTTACTTTTTGCTTTATACTGTTAAATTTGTGATTTGAGGCTAAGAGGCTTGGGTAAATTCTTAGAAGATTTAATGGGATAACACAAGTAGCAAAAACAGGAATCAAAAAAATCCAACTTAAAAATTAAACACAAACCAGAACCATAGAGACATCAGGGGGAAACAATCACAAGGAGCCAGGGTGAGACAAAGTAATTTATGGCTGACTCAACAAAGGCAGGACTAACGAGCTGATAAGGAGCAGGTGTGAGTAGAGCTGACCAGGAAGCCAAGGGAAAAGGAAACACAAGGGGGCAACAGAGGACAAGCGAAGAAAAACCTAAGAAACTTAAATAAATCAAGAACAGACCAATAAAGCTAGAAAAAAAAATGGATAAACATGAAACTGAAAACTTAGAGAAAACAGAATCAAAATCGTTTTTATTTGCATTCCGAAATTTATGATTTGTACTTGTGAATTTCATTGCATGCCCAAATTTGTGATTTTTACTTGTGAATTTATCTATATTTTCTACATTTGTGATTTGTACTTGTGAATGTATTCCTATTTCTAAATTTGTGATTTTTTTTACTTGTGAATTTATTTGTATTTCTAAATTTGTAATTTGTACTTGTTTATTTTTATTTGCATTCCTAAATTTGATTTGTACTTGTGAATGTATTTGTATTTTCTGGATTTGTAATTTTTACTTGTGAATTTATTTGTATTTCTAAATTTTTGATTTCTACCTGTGAATTTATCTATATTTTCTAAATTTGTGATTTGTACTTGTGAATGTATTCCTATTTCTAAATTTGTGATTTGTACTTGTGAATGTATTCCTATTTCTAAATTTGTGATTTTTTACTTGTGAATTTATTTGTATTTCTAAATTTGTAATTTGTACTTGTTTATTTTTATTTGCATTCCTAAATTTGATTTGTACTTCTGAATTTATTTGTATTTTCTAAATTTGTAATTTTTTCTTGTGAATTTATTTGTATTTCTAAATTTTTTATTTTTACTTGTAAATGTATTTGTATTTTCTAAATTTGTAATTTTTACTTGTGAATTTATTTGTATTTCTAAATTTTTGATTTTTACTTGTAAATGTATTTGTATTTTCTAAATTTGTAATTTTTACTTGTGAATTTATTTGTATTTCTAAATTTGTGATTTTTACTTGTGAATTCATTTGTATTTCTAAATTTGTGATTCGTTCTTCTTGATTTATTTGTATGCCTAAATTTGAGATTTGTATTTGTGAATTTATTTGCATTCCCTTATTTGTGATCTGTACTTGTGAATTTACTTGTGCCTAAATTTGACATTTGTACACTGCAATTGTAAAATTGTACTTGTGAATTTTTAGAAGTTGTTTGCGATTTAGTGAAAACAATACAAACTTTAAAACAGCGATAACTGGATGTTTATGACACTTTTGTGTATGTGTTTTTTAATTCTGTTAAAGTTCAGATCCTTGAAATGTGATAATTTATTTTGCCATAAAGATGAAGATGGGAGACCAGAACCAGCGCTGCAGATGAGCGGCAGGCCACTATCAAAGCCAACAGAGCAACACGTGGAGCCCAAATATTGGAATTAAAATAAATTTTCTTTGGTTTTCTTTAATATTCAGGATGTCAGAGGAAATTGATTTTGTGTTTTTACTATAAAAGAAAAGTATTAATCACTGGATTTTTATTTTTATCTATCCATACTAAAAAAAAAAACGAAATTAGCTCATTAACTAATTAACAATCTTTTTGAATGACACGACTGAAAAAGTTCACTTTTGAATCACATTATAATTTGCAAATTCACCGGTTATATTTTACAGAATAGAAATATAAGGTAAAAAAAAAAAAAATGTGACAACTGTTGTTTAAACAAGCTTAATCTGCTGCGTTATTTCAACAAATTGAACATTTAAAACATTTAAAACAAGTGTCTGTTTTGCTTTAATATTCCTGGATAGTTTTGCAGATTTTTCTCGCGTGATCTGGCAACACAGCTTTTGCGATGACGTCACCCTCTGCAGGTGTTCCTAATTAGAGCGCTAATTGGTAAGGACGTGCACATGTCAGCAGGCTGAGCTCATCATCAGCAGGTAAGTAAATATAAAAAAGGTTAAATCAAAAATAAACATTGACCTTCAGTAAATGAACAGGTTGCTGCTGGTTTGTCCCTCTTGTTTTGTAGCTTATTTAGCCGCCTGTCATACAGACCTGTGTTATTAGGAAAACAGCTGACGGCCATGTTTGGTTTTTTTCTGTAATTGTGACTCACTGTTTGGGCAACATGACGAACCTGCTTTTTATTATTAATAAACCACCGTGGCTCAGTCTGTATTTTTGCTGTTTTACTTTTGTCTGCAAAGATCTTATTCTGTGACTCCAGGGGGCGCTGTGGCAGGTGGCACAGCAGGCGACGCCATAGCCGCCATCTTGGGGAGGTCGCCCAGTCTCAAGTGAATTTCTCAGCGCATTTGGTCAATAAAAACTCACTGATTTGTAAATTTTCTTTGTATAGAAAACTTTATAAATACATATATCTTAGCTATGTGTGTATAAACTCATTGTTTATTAATTTATATGTTTGTATTGGACTTAAAAAGTAATAATATTCTGATGTGAATTATTATTCAAGATAACCCTATTAAAATTAGCCACCTCTTTTTCATGGGAGTCCTGACTGAAAGGCAGAAACTTTTATTTTCTTTTTTTCCCCAGCATTTTATTGTCATTACACTGACACAAGTATAAAGTAATGAAATGAACTCTCTGTATTTAAGCAGTGGGCTGCCATTATGTGGCGCCCAGGCAGCAGTGTGGGATAATCCTTTGGACCGCCTGTGTAAAGCCTCCAGCCTCCGCTGTTCCTCCCTTCTTGCTGAGCTCCGACTTCCTCAGAGCTCGAGGAGAGCGTGCGCTATATTATTAAATTCATAGGAGCAAAATATGTGGAAATAAACGGTTAATTTTGTATGACGTATTAAAAAAAAATACCCATCAACATCCAGCATATTTGCGGTTTCTGCCCAAATATTTTCTTTTGTTGTGGATTTTTGTAACGGGGTTTATGGAGGACCAACTCTGCCATATTTAGAAATAAATACAGAAAGGAATAAACGCTCAATAAATAAATAAGAATAGAATTAATTGCCCCCAAAAATATAATAAACAAATGAATGTAGGTAGAGATTAAATTATACAGTGAGACATAAATTTATATATCTCTTTGAATTAGCTTCTTTATTTACTCGCCTTTGTAATAATTACCTTATTTATTTATTGTCCGTTATAATCTTAAACTTTATTTATTTATTATTTTTTTAAGTATTTGTGTGGATGATATATATTTGTCCGTTTTATTCTTCCTTTGTATTATTTTGCCCTACTTATTTCTTCCATACTATTTATTTCTGCCTTTTATATTTACGTTTCTGTTTGCATTTCTGCCTCATTATGCAAATGAGGAGGGGGCGTGGCTTAGAGGGTCACTTTCTGCCCATTGGTTGGCGGCTCATCTTCTTAACTCACGTTAATTACGTGCGTAATTTAAAAGAAAATGTTCCAAAGTTGAGAGGACCGCAACAACCAGCGTAGCTCGGAGGCTAACGCAGCCCGTCTGCAGCGGCCCTCAAATTTCATAAAAATCATCAAACCAACAGTCATATTTTTTTTTTTACTATTTTGGATTTCTAAATATAAAATAATGTTTCAAACATGATATAGAAAAATAATGATATAAAAAAATTATGTTTTTTTTTTTCCCATGTTATGGGGGGGGGACCAATTATGTCAGCTGGCTAAAATATTTAATTTTCCCTCTCATAACTCTGGAAAATAATGATCAAATGTCCCCAAATCCACAGAATTTGTTGTCTGATGAAGAAAGGAATAAAAATATTTAAAGGCTTGCAGGTAAATTAATTTATTTCCATGGTATGGAGGGGGGAATTGTTGTGTGCATGTAGTATAATCCAGTAATCAGTCATATTTTACATTAGAACGGGATTTAGCAGAAAGTCTACACTCTCATCTTCACCCTCAGGGCTAAGCCCCTAATCTCCTACAATCCTAGATCCTCCCCTGGACAAAAGTATCATAAAACTTCTTTAAAAAAATCAGAATTTTGGAAAAAAAAAAAAACTCTTAATCATGTCACAGTCAAACTGACCATATCAATGCGTTATTTATTTATTTTTTTTGCACCACCTTAAGAAATGGAAATGTCATGAGAGCTGTAGAAAACAGAATTTCCTTTTGTATCAAGTGTATGTACAGAGTGACAATAAAGTTTGTCTAAATCTAAAAAGGTCTGTTAAATAAAACCAAACCAATAGAGATGGAGTCTTCTTAATGTTAACCTGCTCTTCCCATCATTGCTTCCCTCAGTCCCAAACACCACTGCTGGGAAACGCTGAGCAGCCATGAGGTCTTTGGTAACAACCAGCCAGGCCAGGAAGCTTCTGCACAACAAGTTCGTGGTCATTCTGGGCGGTTCAGGTGAGCATCTGTAGCCTGACGTAGTCCTACTCAATTCTAGTCAGAATGAGTCTGATGCTGCTCCATAGAGCTGTGATTATGGGGCGTGTTTTGAACGGACCAGGAAAAAAAATGCCTCTGCACTCAATTGGATAGACCTACAACCAATAAGAGCAACGGAGTGCGTGACGTATGTTAAGCGACGCATAGTTGTTGTCAACAAAAATCAAAGCGTGCAGTTGCACGCCTAGAATAAGAAGATGAGCCTTGATTGCGTTTCTCTGTTCCTCTTTTAAAATTAATTTGCTGTCGATATCTTCTAGAACAGACCTAATAGCAGAATCTACTCACCTCAACTCTCCAGCGGCAGCCATTGTTGTTGTCACCCAAGCGCGCTTTGGTGACGTGGTTGATTACGTTACTGTTGATCATCTGTCCATCATCGTATAAAGCCCGCCCTGACAATTTGATTGGATCGCCAGAGGGTGGGCGATAATACTCGCGCTACTATGGAGCAGAGCCAGACCGAACTTCCCGACCTCAAACCTTGTGGGCGGGACTAAGTTCGGAATGGCACCCAGGCTAGAGCATCTGAGGTCAGCTGTGATTATTTTATTCTACTAATCTCGTTGGAATGCTTTATGTTGATGATTCCACGCTTTACGACTTTCCTGGCTGGTTTTCGTCAAGCGGAAATAGTTCCTTCACAACAGCAGTAGGTCAGTGTGAGCGCACCTTCCCACGCAGCAGGTTGAGTCACCCCAGTCGGCCTCGGAAGATGGCCGCTCACACCGAGCCTGGTTCTGCTGGAGGTTTCTTCCTGTTCAAAGAGAGTTTTTTTCCTCTCCACTGTTGCTACAAGCATGCTTATACCCCATTTACACTACCGATCCATACCGAGACCGGTCCGAGCTCGGATCAGTTAACCAGGCCTAGCTCGGTTCTGACGACCGTTTACACATCACGCTATCTCGGTTCCTCGCCTCCTCGTGACGATCTGCGGTATTACTGCCAGTAGTGAAGGACGAAATCAAGCAGCTGGTGGCGGTAATGCACCAAAGGTTGTTTGCCAACCGCCATAAAACACAAGAAGAAGAAGACGAAGAAGGAGGGAATCATGCAAATCAAAATGGCGGCGCCCGTCACATTCAGAAAGTTATGCTTGATTATTATTATCATCCCAGGTCGCACCATGCTCTGTTGAAGCCATTATTTAAAATGTTGCGTGGAGAAGATTTCGATTGTTGTTTATAGTTGTTCCTCTTCTTCTGTTTTGTGTTGGTTGGCAAGCAACTTCCGGAGGGGCATTAGTGCCACCTACTGGAATGGAGTGTGAATCGCGATGTGCAGCCAGACGGAGATGACGCGTTCTGCTCATGCGCTCTTGTTATCAGAGAACCGATCCAGGGAAAAACCGGGCCGAGCCCACATCTGGAACCGGTCTGGGGTTAGCTTGGTCCGGTTGTGTCTAGCTCGGTTCAGTTCAGTTTGCTTTCCATTTACACACCATAAGTTATCTCAGTTACTGAGCTCGGACCGGTCTCAGCACGGTTTTTTTAAGGGTAGTGTAAATGGGGTAAATGAGTCGATGCAATCAGCTGGTTTTCCTTAGATAGAAAACTTTGAATCGATCTGACTGGATGATCTGGTGAACTGGAAAGTGCCTTTAGATGACATATATTTAACTGGCGCTATAGAAATAAAATGAATTGAATTGAATGATTTGAACAAAAATGAAAAAGCAGTAAATTAGTTGTTTCTATTAAAAAGACCAGAAACATTCATGCCCTGAACTCTAACATGCGTGTCCTTCTCTTTCAGTGCAGCGCTCCATGTACAAAGACCTGGTGGTTCTGCTTCAGAGCTATCAGCATCTGACTCTGTCTCAGCTCAAGTCCAAAGTAAATCGTTCTCCTTCCTCGTCTTAAATAACGTAATCTCTCTGTGAATCACTCCTCAGTTTATGGCTCAGATTTCGCCTGTGAGAAGCAGACCTCCATGCTAGATGTGATAAAGAGGGAAATTAATTAACCAATCCAAACTAGTAATGGGTTTCATGAGGCATCAGGAAGCGCTTCGACACATTGCCAAACTGGACTGATACTGGGTTCTCAACACTCCCACCTGCTGGACTTTTAAAATCCCTGCAATTTGAAAGAATAAACTGAAACTGATTTAATGATCTAATAATACTATGTTATATTGCATTATTTTATGTATTTGCTTATATGAAAATATGTTAATATTTTTTTTTATGAAATCTATAAATAATGTAAACATATATCAACTGAAAAATTTAGGTTAACATTTGAATGAGGATGCTTGTGGACTAGCATAAACAAAAAAAACAAAGCAGCATTACTGTAACGCTGGAAAACTAAAAGTCAATTGGAATTTAAATTAAATTCCGATAACTTAAGTGACAACTGAGGGGAACATGATGAATGATGAGAAAATCAAAACAAATACTAGATCAAAATGGTTCCACTCGGCTGAAACCTTTCTTTCGCCTTGAGGCCGCTCCATATTTCTACATGAATTTTAAAATCAAACGCAAAAGATCTGAGATTTATTTATTTTTTGACAGACACATCTTGTTTACAGGTGAGCTTATGTGTGTCTCAGCCCCCCCTTCAGTGTCCACCATATTGGATCAGTCCACTTGCTGCACATGTTCAGAAAGGTCCAAACAGACAGCAGCAAACCATTTGAAAACAAACCATGCAAAGAGCAGTGTTGCTAACTTAGCGCTTTAGTCGCTATATTTAGCCACTTTTCAGACCCCTCTAGCACTTTGATTTCTAAAAAGCTCCTAGCGCCAAATCTAGAGACTTTTTTCTGCTACTGGAGACTTTGGAGACAACATCTAAAAGCAGCGAACTCTGCTCTCCAGAGCCAGTAGATTGGTAACCCCGCCTCCTGCTCTCCTCTATCTTGTCTGCTGTCATGATTCATGCAGCTATTATTTCATCCAAATGAAAAATGGAGAACAGATAAGCAGATCATGGCTTGTCTACAGTGAAAAGAAGGACTGGGTTATTTACTTTGGCCTTTTTGGAAACACAGGAAGGAGCAATCAGCTAAGTGAGCTTAGTGCTTGGAAAAAATCTTTCATTCCTTTAGAGACAGCATGAAAAGTCAGCTGAGTACAAAACATAGAGAGGAAAACAAGAAGAAAAGGGACAAGAAGAGAGGGACACAACCTAGAACAAAGAATGGATGTCTATTCTTTTAAAGTCGTAGGGAAGCGTCTGTTCCAACCGTTGCATTTCCGAATTCTCCCGAGTGGTGCCCGACTTTACACGAGTGAATAAAGTGAATGTGATTGGTCGATTATCAGGGGGGCGGGATTGTTGTGGCGGGAGGTTCACAAGCAAGTTTGGTTGTGGCCGGTTTGTGGGAAGCATCTTGCTAACCAGTTAGCATCTTAGTGCTAGTAGGTTCCCAATGGGAAATTCCAGTGGGACCAAGTAGCACTAAATTGGTGACTTAGAAACGACGCTGTCAAGGAACGCTATGGACAGAGGAAACATGCAAGAGGAGGAGAGTTTAGTGTCGGAGGTCGTGGATGAGTCTCCTTCGTCATCCATTTTTTATTTAGAGGAGGAAAGCGGGGATGAAGATGTTGTGGAAGAGGACGCCAGGGCGGCAGAAGCTTGGTTTGATGTAGAAGGCTTCCAGCCGTACATGTTTGAGCCCTTGCCTCGCAACGCTGCCAGTTCTGTTAGCTCTACGCCTGCCGAAGACACAGACGTCCATCCCCGTGAACACTGGGACGCAACTCAATGGGAAAGGAAAGGATTCTGATTTCAACTGTTGCGTATATTAGCTGCGACATATGAATCAAGATGCTATGACCGAAAACATTTGATTGACAGATGACCGTTGATATATGATTGGCCGAATTTAGGTGTTCAGGCTGACGTAGAACTAACTGACCTGGAGAAGATAACGGAAAAAAACAACAATGCAGATTTTAAGACATGAATTTTTTACAAATTGAAATTTTTCTAACTTTTTGGACGATATCACCCGTCACTAATCAAACACGACTCGGGTTCTGTAGTTGTCTTCAACGCTGCCTCACTGGGTTAAGATGAATTCATAATATTCAGAAGGATAGCAGTGATTTTATTTTCAGAATAGCCAGGGGCGGAGCTAGAAGGGGGAGCACCTTTCCTTTGTTTGTTACCGAGTTACTTAACTAACCAAACATTTGAACTTGAGTGCTGTGTCTCTCTTTGTGCCCAGGGCGAGTTCTCCTTTCAGGGGGACGTGCTGGTGGAAGGAGGCTGCTTGGGTCCAAAGACAAACGGGACGGAGTACAAAGAGGTCCGACAGTACGTCTCCAGCCACCACCTGCTGCGATATTACTTCCTGACGCGCATCTACTCACCATACATGGAGAGTATTTTGGAGGACTTCCGGCAGGGACTGAGGCCGGATGTCCTCATAGTCAACTCTTGTGTCTGGGACCTCACCAGGTGACAATACTAATCTAGTTTAATCTGTCCGTTTTCCCTTAGGAAGATGGTTCCCTAAAATAAGTCCTTCATTTTTAAAGCACACAGTTTGTTTCACAATTAGTCACACATTTGAACCGATAATTAGAACATCCTACCAGAAATGACAGCAACTGAACACCACACAGGATGAATGAAACAAATATAGGCTGGGAACATTTATTGGATGTTCTAACAATGATTTCTAGGTTTGTTTTCCAAACCCAGGACGCTTTCTGGAGGATGGTTGAATCTTCTTTTAAAGAGCTTTTCTCATTATAGATTTATTTAGGGATGCACGATATTGGGATTTTGGCCGATATCCGATATGCCGATATTTTAAAACTCATGTAGCCGATAACCGATATCGATACCGATGTTAAAGCTGGACAAAAATAAGTAGTCATTGAAAATAGCAGTTTTGTTATCCATTTCTGACACTTTGAAAAATAATATACTCAAATATATTTTCATATGCTGATATCAAATAGATTTTTAAAAACGCGGTATCGATCTATTTTACTTTCAAAATCTGGTGAAATTTCATCGTTCTGTTACAAACTCTCGTGATATTTTGCAAATTCTTGTGAGATTTTGTTAGTAAAATAGATCGATACCGCGTCAATATATCAACATATAAAAATATGGCAACATTTGGTGAATTTTCGGGGGATTTCGTAGCATAACGATGACATTAGGGATGCACGATATAATCGGCCCCCTATCGGTATCGGCCTTAAAACTGAATATCGGACATCGGCCACCCCACCGATATTTAACCTGATATTTGATCAGCTTCTGAGTTTCTAAAGTCTAAAAAAAAAAAAAAATACTACTACTTCTTCTTCCTCAAAAACGTCTTTTTTACAGACTTAAAAACTTCTAAAGATGAGGGAAAAAATATTGATCCATTAAAATATCCCAATATCTTCATATGCTGATATATTGCCATTTAAAAACACCATATCAATCTCTTTTACTAATGAAATATTGCTATATGCCATCGTTATGCTACGAAATCCCCCGAAAATTCACCAAATGTTGCCAGAACGATGAAATTTCACGAGATTTTGAAAGTAAAATAGATCGATACCGCGTTTTTAAAAATCAATTTGATATCAGCATATGAAAATATATTTGAGTATTTTATTTTTCAAAGTGTCAGAAATGGATAACAAAACTGCTATTTTCAATGACTACTTATTTTTGTCCAGCTTTAACATCGGTATGGATATCGGTTATCGGCTACATGAGTTTTAAAATATCGGCATATCGGATATCGGCCAAAATCCCAATATCGTGCATCCCTAGATGACATATAGCAATATTTCATTAGTAAAAGAGATTGATATGGTGTTTTTAAATGGCAATATATCAGCATATGAAGATATTGGGATATTTTAATGTATCAATATTTTTTCCCTCGTCTTTAGAAGTTTTTAAGTCTGTAAAAAAAGAAGTTTTTGAGGAAGAAGAAGAAGTAGTATTTTTTTTTTTTTTTTTTTTTTTAGACTTTAGAAACTCAGAAGCTGATCAAATATCGGGTTAAATATCGGTGGGGTGGCCGATGTCCGATATTCAGTTTTAAGGCCGATACCGATAGGGGGCCGATTATATCTTGCATCCCTAGTTGCAATATTTGGTTGGTAGCAATGACAGCCTCCGAACATTTCTTACATTCATCTAGAAGCTTCTTGCGCTTTCTTGGGTGGCATTTTCTCCCTCTCTTCTTTTGCAATCTGCCCGAGCTCTTGTACATTTGCAGGGTTCCTTTCTCCAATGGCAGATTTCAGCTCTACCCAAAGATTTTCAATTTTCAATGGATTGAGATCAGGACTTATTGCTGGCCATTTTAAAACAGTCCGTTTTTTCCCTTTCAACCATTCCTGCGTGCTTTTGGAGCTGAGCTTTGGGTCATTATCTTGCTGGAAGACCCAGGATCTTTGCATCAAACAGAGTTTTCTTACACTGGGACATTTCGCTCTGGAATTTCTTGATATTCTTCTGATTTCATGATGCCTGTGATACGGTCAAGGCCTCCAGTACAAGATGCCGCAAAGCAGCCCCACAGCATTATGCATCCTCCACCATGCTTGAATATTGGTATGGTGTTCTTTTTTTTAAAGGCTTCATTGCGCCGTCTGTAAACATACTGTTGGTGTGAATTACCAAAAAGCTCCACTTTTGTTTCATCTGTCCATAAAATGTTGTCGCTTGAGGTTTGTCTAGGTTCTCTTTTGCGACCAATCGTTCTTTTCTTTAGGAAATATTCCATCATATGTACTTAAACTTCAGGGGTGCCAATAATTGTGAGCAGGACTGTATGTTTAGAAAATAACACTAATCAGATCTAAGATATATCCCGCAGCTGAAATGAGCTGTGGTGAGAGGTGGTTAAAATCTTCCTTAAGAGTAAAATAATTCCCTACTTTCTCTAAATTTTTATTGTGCTTTTTTGACGTAGAAAGGGAACCGCGGAACGTAAAATTAAAAATCGTAGGGAATTCCTTTTTAAATGTCAAATCATTCTGGCTTAAACATGTATATAAATGTATGTATATATAAATGAATAGTCTGGTTCATTTATGATTGGAGGCGGAGCATTTTTTAACTTGCTGTTGATTTCATTTTTTTTTCAGCATTTGTTTTGTTTTCTTCATTTTTCATTCGTATTTGTTTGTGTTTTCTCTTTTTTCCCATTTTCAGAAATTGTCATTAAAACATTTAGTCTTACAAATAAAATAAGTCTACCATTTTTTCATCCAAAGACAAATTGTAAATCACAGCATTCTTCATCTTGCCTTTATGTTTAATCACAGGTACGGCCTGGAGAGTCTGAACGAATACAAGGAGAACCTCAACAGGTTCTTCAGTGAGATCAAAGCCATCGTTCTCCACAGTTGTCTGGTGGTCTGGGTTCTGGCAATGCCCATTGGCAAGAAGATCAAAGGTGGATTCTTGGTTCCTGAAGTGAGTGTCTTCATCAGTGTGTTGCTTTTAAAAATACCAATCCAAAGGTTTAAACACAAAGGCATAATTAGCTCCGATTTCATGCATTCACTGAAACTGACATTTTAGGTCACATGTTGTCCATATATTATGCAAACTAAGATGTTATTCATTACCAACATTCAAATAGGTCGGCGTAGCTGAGAAGTGGAATCTAAGCATAAACACAATGAGTCTGACCTGATTTCTTTCTTTTGGGCTGTTGATATAAGTTTTTTGAATTTTTCCCTAAACACTTTTTTTGTATGATTTTCACTAGACCATCCTGATCTCGCGAGCTTTCAAGGTTTCACTCGCAGATCAGTCTGGAGTCTCTCCGTTAAAGAAAATTTGGAGCCGTTCACCAAACGAACGTCCAATCAGCGTTGGCTTTGAGGCGGGTTGAGGTGTGACGCAACGAGAAGCGCGACAGTTCAGTCTAAAGAACATGGCGGCTTCAGCCGATGAAACTAGCGTTAGCGTGGCTATCGAGCAAGTTTAATCGGAATTACAGAGTATTTCTTCACTGAAAGAAGAGCAAAACACTGCTCTGGAGGCTTTTCTCACAGGAAAATATGTTTTTGCTCTTCTACCGACTGGTTTCGGCAAGAGTTTGATCTATCAATTGGCTCCTCTTCGTCGTCGCTCTGTTAGTACGTCATATGCTCCGTTGATCTGATTGGTTTATTTGGCCCGTCTATCACCAACGTAGGCCAATCGGCTAACCAGTATTTTCGCCTCTACCAAAAATTACTTCAACAGAAGGTTTCCAGATGGAAATCCATCTGGCAGAGTCAGGTTAGGTTTTCACACCATATCTTCTAAAATTTATTTATTTATTTATTTTTTTTACAAAATCTCAAAAAGGTTCGAAATGATTCCTGTATTGTTGCTCACGCCTGCTGACGGGGGGACAAAGGGTTGTAAAATTGACAGTCTGACCATTAAAAATACAGGCAGAAGTGATTTTTACATAAAATATTTGATAAAAGTATTAAATATATCTGCATTAGGAATATGTAATATGTTTTCTTTAAATAAGTGGCCATTTGAACTAAAATGGTTTGACCAGGACAACAGCGGGCTGCAACTTTTAAGGTTTGTTTTGCTGCAAAAACTAAGAATGTCAGGTTTTCAGAAGTCCGGCACACAGACAAAGAAAAAAAGAGACAATTGGAAGATGGCAGTAAATATTAAATATGGAGTAAATATTAAAAATGGAAGCATCTCTCTGGTTTGACCTCTGCAGTCAAGAGACCCAGGCTTCTAACAGATTTGACTGAACCGGTTAAAACTGCCTTAATTACAAGATGTACGTGTGTGCAAAGTTTGCTTCCACACAGGTTGTGGTCCATGCTGGTTCCCGGGCTCTTTACAGACCCCTGTCTGCCTCTGTCCAGGCCAGAGGCCAAAACAGAGAGCCCCCTCACCCAGGTTTTCCTGAGAAGCTTTCAAATCAGTGCCGTAAGCAGGGATATCCACACTGCTGCCAGGTTTAATGGTGCTGGAGCCGCCACAGTCGGAGTGGCTGGATCCAGTGCTGGAATTAGGACTGTGTTCAGTAGTCTGATTATTGGCTATGCCAGGAACCCATCTCTGAAACAGCAGCTGTTCTCCTACGCCATCTTGGGATTTGCCCTGTCTGAAGCTACGGGTCTCTTCGGTTTTGATGGTCGCCACCTTTATCCTGTTTTCTATGTAAAACCAGCTCCTGCAACACTCTCCTTCCACAGATGGGACTACATATGTTATTATTAGGGATGCACGATATAATCGGCCCCCTATCGGTATCGGCCTTAAAACTGAATATCGGACATCGGCCACCCCACCGATATTTAACCCGATATTTGATCAGCTTCTGAGTTTCTAAAGTCTAAAAAAAAAAAATACTACTCCTTCTTCTTCCTCAAAAACTTATTTTTTACAGACTTAAAAACTTCTAAAGACGAGGGAAAAAATATTGATACATAAAATATCCCAATATCTTCATATGCTGATATATTGCCATTTAAAAACACCATATCAATCTCTTTTACTAATGAAATATTGCTATATGTCATCGTTATGCTACGAAATCCCCCGAAAATTCACCAAATGTTGCCATATTTTTATATGTTGATATATTGACGCGGTATCAATCTATTTTACTAACAAAATCTCACAAGAATTTGCAAAATATCACGAGAGTTTGTAACAGAACGATGAAATTTCACCAGATTTTGAAAGGAAAATGGATCGATACCGCGTTTTTAAAAATCAATTTGATATCAGCATATGAAAATATATTTGAGTATATTATTTTTCAAAGTGTCAGAAATGGATAACAAAACTGCTATTTTCAATGACTACTTATTTTTGTCCAGCTTTAACATCGGTATCGATATCGGTTATCGGCTACATGAGTTTTAAAATATCGGCATATCGGATGTCGGCCAAAATCCCAATATCGTGCATCCCTACTTATTATGGCTGCTAAAATTGTTCTGTGTTGGTGGAAATTTTTCCAAGCCTTTCAGACGCTGTCCAAATAAGCAAAACATGTATTGTACAAATTTAAGTTCTTACGCAATTAAAATACATGGATATGACCATTTAAAAAAAAGAGAACAAAAAACATAAAGTAGTGCAAATGAAAAAAAAAAATATATATATTAGGGCTGTCAAAATTAACGCGTTAACATGAGATGATTAATTTCTGGAATTAACGCGATATATTTTTTAACGCATTAACGCAGTCCCGCCCCCTTTTACCCACAATTCAATTGTCCGACATGGGCGAGATGGAGGAATCAGAAGAACCCGTTGGCTGGCTGGATGGACGGTGGGGGAATAAAAAAAAACAAAGACGGGACAATAAATAAACATGTTGTGGTTTGCTTACACTGCAAGAAGGAATTTTCGTTTCACCAAAGCACCTCGAGCCTTAAATATCATCTTAATGCCAAGCATTCATTGTTGGGGCTTCAACTTCAGCTGTTACGACACGCATGCGTCAGACCAGCCTCACCGAACGCAGGGCGTTAAGTAACGCTCTGCTTTACAATCAGAAAATGCGAACCAGTTAGTTTGCCTTAACAACTGGCTAAAAGATGAATAAATAATAGGTAAAATGCCCTCATGTAATTGTTTAAAAGTCAAGTTGTTTGTTTTAAACAAAAAACGTTCCATTCACCCATCCTGTATTTGCTAAAAAATACAGAAAATGTGTATTTTTCAATAATGTTTAGGCTAGTGATTAATCAAAATTAATTCAAGAAACCTTGTGATTAATTAGATAAAACATTTTAATCGTTTGACAGCCCTTATACAGTGGAGCAAAAAAGTATTTAGTCAGCCACCAATAGTGCAAGTTCTCTCACTCAAAAAGATGAGAGAGGCCGGTAATTTTCATCATAGATATACCTCAACTATGAGAGACAAAATGAGAAAAAAAAATCCAGAAAATCACATTGTCTGATTTTTAAAGAATTTATTTGCAAAATATGGTAGAAAATAAGTATTTGGTCAATAACAAAAGTTCATATCAATACTTTGTTATATACCCTTTGTTGGCAATGACAGAGATCAAACGTTTTCTGTAAGTCTTCACAAGGTTTTCACACACTGTTGCTGGTATTTTGGCCCATTCCTCCATGCAGATCTCCTCTAGAGCAGTGATGTTCTGGGGCTGTCGCTGGGCAACACGGACTTTCACCTCCCTCCAAAGATTTTCTATGGGGTTGAGATCTGGAGACTGGCTAGGCCACTCCAGGACCTTGAAATGCTTCTTATGAAGCCACTCCTTCGTTACCCGGGCGGCGTGTTTGGGATCATTGTCATGCTGAAAGACCCAGCCACGTTTCATCTTCAATGCCCTTGCTGATGGAAGGAGGTTTACACTCAAAATTTGACGATACATGGCCCCATTCATTCTTTCCTTCACACGGATCAGTCGTCCTGGTCCCTTAGCAGAAAAACAGCCCCAAAGCATGATGTTTCCACCTCCATGCTTCACTGTAGGTATGGTGTTCTTTGGATGCAACTCAGCATTCTCTCTCCTCCAAACACGACGAGTAGAGTTTTTACCAAAAAGTTGAGACGGGTCTTGACCTGTACTGGCTTAAGCAGGGGGACACGTCTGGCACTGCAGGATTTGAGTCCCTGGCGGCGTAGTGTGTTACTGATGGTATCCTTTGTTACTTTGGTCCCAGCTCTCTGCAGGTCATTCACTAGGTCCCCCCGTGTGGTTCTGGGATTTTTACTCACTGTTCTTGTGATCAGTTTGACCCCACGGGGTGAGATCTTGCGTGGAGCCCCAGATCGAGGAAGATTATCAGTGGTCTTGTATGTTTTCCATTTGCTAATAATTGATCCCACAGTTGATGTCTTCACACCAAGCTGTTTACCTATTGCAGATTCAGACTTCCCAGCCTGGTGCAGGTCTATAATTTTGTTTCGGGAGTCCTTTGACAGCTCTCTAGTTTTGGCCATGGTGGAGTTTAGAGTGTGACTGTTTGAGGTTGTGGACAGGTGTCTTTTATACTGATAACGGGTTCAAACAGGTGCCATTAATGAAGGTAACGAGTGGAGGACAGAGGAGCCTCTTACAGAAGAAGTTACAGGTCTGTGAGAGCCAGAAATCTTGCTTGTTTGTAACTGACCAAATACGTATTTTCCACCATATTTTGCAAATAAATTCTTTAAAAATCAGACAATGTGATTTTCTGGATTTTTTTTTCTCATTTTGTCTCTCATAGTTGAGGTATATCTATGATGAAAATTACCGGCTTCTCTCATCTTTTTAAGTGGGAGAACTTGCACTATTGGTGGCTGACTAAATACTTTTTTGCCCCACTGTATGTATATGTATGTGTGTGTATATATATATATATATATATATATATATATATATGTATATGTATATGTATGTATATATATATATATATATACATGTATATGTATATGTATGTATATATATATATATATATATATATATATATATA